TTTTATATCTAAACACAGAGCAAAACTTTAAAGTAGGCAAGATTTTGTGGCTCTGTAAGAAGTATTTCATGTAGCAGTTCTCCTGGTTTTACTGTATGAGGACAAATGTGCTGTCTACGCTCGCCTACAATGTTGCAATACTCTAATATGCCAGATTATTTTTCTTTAAACTGCTGCTTAAAATCCCTCCTTCATACTCTCTCTGGAACAGAACCAGCCCCAAGACCTTTGGGCCACGACCTTTTATAATAATTCCCCCCAAATCTCTTCTCCTATTTTAGGACTAAGGGGTTCCTTGCTCATGGTTATGCACCATTTGCCATTATCTACAAAGACTAAAATGCCAAGGATGGCCTTCAGCTGTCAGCTCTGCCCCTCTGAACAGGGTGTTACAGGATGTCTCGTTCAGCATTTGCAGTCACAGGAGAGGGGAGATTCTTTCATTCAGAGCAGGGAATATCCTCCACAGCTGCAGAGCACAGGAGGCCCAGGGAACTTCCTAAGGCCAGCAGCTGTGGAAGGAAATTTTGGCGGGATTGGTCCATTATTGTTGATGTACATAAAGCCTCAAAATCAGCGTCAGGAAATCATGCACATGCAGAGAGACTCATGGTCTTATTTTTCATATTTAGCTATGCAACTGTAAAATAGTTAAATCTTGCTTTGATGTTATGCTCAACATTGTTAGTATTAATAAAAAATTATGCTGGTTTTTCCAGTCAAGTCATATTTAAACGAAAACTCAGACCTGCCACCACCTCCCTTTTCAACCAGTCCACCAGTGCAGCAATCACGACTTGAAAAAGTTGTCACAAGCATGAAGTTAAACTAAGTTGACATCTCTTCTTTCATACTGTGGTATGTATAAAGTTAGGAACATTCAGTTTTTACCCTGTAACTTAAGCACCAACTACTTAACCATCCCAAAACACCCAGCAGCACAGCTGATTGCCCAACCCCATCGCAAAAGTTCATCTTTTAGAAGCCTCTTAGGAGACCTACATGAAGACAATGAAACCTAACCTGGTGTTCTGCACTACACTTTTTTTAGTACTTCTGGCTGTATCATTATGCACAACCCTGAAGATGGGATTTCCTGTCACTCTACTGCCAAATTGCTTGAGTCTTCATGTAAACTCTGTGCTAACTCATATTATTTTTGCACCTTGATTTCAATTCCTATAACATAGAGGTAACTCTTGCCTAACTTCACACAGGTGTGTGTTTAGCTCATGACCCTCTGATATTCTCGGATGCTAATTCAGAACATCATTAACAATACACGTAACACCAGCAAGGGCTGGGAAGACATTTTTGCCAACACATTCAGGCAGACGCTAAAGACGATTTTTCTATTTTCTTCCAGTTTCAGTCTGAGGTGAAGTGGCAAAGACTGTCCCTCAGAATCTAATGTTCTGCAAAGCAGCAGCAGATTCAGCACTCCCTACTTCACACCCTGCAAAGCAAGCCAAAACCTAAGAAACAGCCTTGCTCAATGGCTGAACAACAGAGACAGAAACAGATCCATTCAGCAAGGAGAGCCAAAGAAGGAGTCAGAGAGCCAAAGCCACCAGCTTCCTCCTGCTGGCTGTGCAAGTAAGAAAGGAGCCCGGAACAATGGAGGCAGCAGAACAGCATTACTCTGGGGTCATTTGGTTTAGTTCCCAAATGGCTCCTAACAGATGCCTCTAAGAAAAATTTGCTCTGCATCGCTGCTGCCTCATCACCCTGGAGCCACATACCCCATGCTCAGTTTGGCAAACTGCTTCATCTACCCAGGCTGAGATCCAGACATCAACGGGCCCACTTGGGGGGCCCAAACTCCACTGGCTCTCCTGTGTTTTGGACCCATCCTTAGAACTAGTAATTATTCCTTTGGCAGTTCTTGCCTACCAGACAACATCTCCCAGCCCATTCCTGTGGGGTCAGGAAATAAGTGCAGCTGAAAAAAGGGTTGATACGGAATGGGTCAACTAACAAGCAGAAAAGTATCAAAGACCACTTGACAAGTGCAGGAACAGAGGATTGTGAGGCAGGAGAGGACACTGAAGGAAAGAACACTGAAAGGAAAAGATCATGGAAAGGGACAGAGAATTTTGGGAACAAGAGCATAAAGGGAATGCTATGACATGATTGTCCCCAACCCACGGCTTGAAGGCAACCCATAGTAATGTTGCTTGTGACAAAGGAAATGAAAATGTTCCAAGAATGGCATGGAAAACAAAGTACAATGTTGCCAACAGTGTGATAACTGTGCAGTGCTGCTGACAATAAATGAACACAGACTGGGGAGTACAGCTCTTTACCTCCCTTAACTAGAAGTTAAAATCATTCCACCTGTCCCCTCTCCTTTTTCTTTTTTTTTTTGTTTTTTTTGTGGCAGCATCTCTGGTTAGAGGAATTTGGCTCTGGAGCTGGCCAGCTCTAGCTGGCTACAGTATGTGCAGGCACCCTGCAGCCAAGATAAAGCAGCCACGGCCCACTTCCCTACAGACAAGTGAATTCCACACCAAATGCCCCAGCACTGCCTGTGGCTGAACTGGCCTCTGATTCTTAGTGCTGCTCCTTTCAGTGCTCTTGCCAATGAGATGGTGACAGACGTGTGGAGAGATGGTCACTGCTGCTTTCTGGACTGATCCTGTCTCTGAGGGTACAACCTTAACTTCCAAAAGTGCAACTCTGCCACACTTGACAAGTAACCAATATATCACAAAAAAACCTGAAGATTTCTGCTGGGGATCAGAAGAAGGAAAAGACCCTCCTGTGAGAATCAGAAGATAATGAAATTTCTTCATTTCTAACCAAATAAACACTGGAATGTTTATTTTCTTGCCCCCATTTCATGTACACGGTGATTTTGAAATATTTCTGTTTATTTTATAATATGCAGCAAAACGAATGATCCTTCCACACTGAAATAAACAACCTTTTTTTCTCCCTGCCATACAGACACACACACACAAGATTCTACACACAAGAAACTTCCTTCCACATCCTTCCTTTGTGGATGTGAACCCCTCTGGGGCTGACAACTCCCAGCAGAGCCAACAGAACACTTGCCATTGCTTTCAGTCACAATATGATTGTGCCCCTTTCTTGTAGCAGGCAGAGTTAATTGAACAGAGTTGAAGATGTATTGTAGGAGACAGGAGTAAATCAAATTATATGAAAACATTCCCACGGTTTTGATTTACTTCACAGAAAGAAGCAAAATATTAGACATCTTATATTACTTCACATTTGCCTGGAGGGCAAATGTGAGGTAAATGCTAGGAAAATTCTAAAAATGTAGCAATAAGCCCCTTATACTAAGTTCTGTATGAAAAAATGCATTACTGAGAATACAATGTTATTCTAAGACGCTGAACAGGAGTCTCTAAACCCGTTTCAGAGAGCAATAGATTCCACTGGTTTAGATGGGATATTTCTTTGCAAATCTGAAACTGTAAACTAATAAAAACTGTAAACAGAAGGGCTCTCGAAGCGTTAAACCGGGCAAGTTTGTAGTGCTGCTGACATCTACTGAGAGAAAGTCGAATTGCACATCTTAGAGAGGGATGAGCCTACCTTAGCCCTTATTTGTTGTTTCCTTTTGTGTTTTCAGCCACACGTTTGCACATTTAATAATTATCTTGTATCAATACTCACTTGCTTCATTTAAGTGTAGTGAGTCAACAGAGGCGTTATAGGAAACGTTAAGGAGGAAATAAAAGGGACATTCAGGAGATGGCTGTATCCCTTATATAAATGCTGCAGATTTGTTCTTATAGTTGAAACAGTCTGAAGATCTAGATTGACACACAGCATCAGGTATATCAGGATGCAGTTCTAACATAAAGCCTTCAAACTGTGGCAGCTGAAGCCAAAACTCACATATTACAAAATACTGGATGTAAGAAACCATGTTGCACAAGTAATATTGAAAATGTATGTGTTGTTTGTTTTCTACTGGAAAAGGATAACATAGCTAAACTACGGCAGGAATAAAAATATCACCACTACAAGAACGGAACTCAAAAAACCAAGCCAGCAACACTTTTTGCTCTGTGTGTCTTTTGTCAGGATGACATATAGTATTCACACTATTCAGGCAATTCAAGAAAAATTTTTGCTGGTATCTTGTGCATTATAAAGTGTATTCTTTCCCCATGCTGAACAGAGAAGAATTCATAGCCATCCGTACAGGCACAGAACAATAACCATTATTACAGGTCTCATGTCTAGGGGTTTCATTCTACAGCAGGAAAGGTGTGTCCATCTCAGTTTGGGTAATACCAAAACTAATGGGGGTGTGAGGAGAGAAACAACACAAAATTCTAACAGAGTTGGAGCAAGTCAAGGAGACAATGACTGAGAGGGTGTGTTTCTCCACTTCTGGGGCAAATTTCTCATCCCTGATGTTACACTGAATTCACAGGATTATAAATAAAAACTCATTTGCCAATAAATATTTGTAACATAGGGCTATACTATCTATAAAGCAGCTTAATTAATTTTCTTTTGTAATAAGAGAAAGATCCACAGCCAAAATTAAATATCTCATTACAAGATTCAATCTGTGAATAAGCTGTTATGAAATGCCCCTCTGACCTTGACAGGACCAGGATTTCAGTGAGGGCTTTTCACTGTTCCTTTCTGCAGATTCTGAAACAGATGTAAACATGAGATCTTTGGCTCATGTATCTGTTGTATAAGATATCCCCAGCAGTAATTTTTGGTCACACAGGTCTAAACTCCAACTTTTTTAGGTGAGTAGGTCCAGTGGATAAAGCTGATACACACTCAGCTCCCATTTGAGCTCTGCTTTGAAAATCACACACAGATTAAAAACTGCAGCACAGGGTTGGAAATGCTCTCCTGATTGTTCTCTAACTGAAGGTACCTCATTTCCCTCTATGCCTCAGCCATCACCTCGAATTTTTCTTGGTAACTAAAGCTTGGCTTCTACAGACACTGTGACATGCCATGATCTTGGGAGGACTGTACAGTTCAGCACTTACCTCTCTCACCGAGGTCCCTCAGGATTCACGCAGCCATCACTCGTGTCTGATCCAGTGCAATTGTCACTGCTCACACTGACCTCCTCAGGAAAAGTAGCTGCAGCCTTGTATTTCCTCCTGCAATAGGAAAACGTGGGTTATACAGTTTCTCCACCACAACAACACTACACAGAACAACTGGAACCTCATCTTTCCCTTCAACATGTCAGATAGGTTTGAACCCATGTTCTCCCTCTCCCTGAGGTTTGCTAAACTGGGGGACAGCTTCCCCTGGGGAGATAAGCTTACACCAGCACAGAACAGTTTGCAGGCCTCTGGCTGATGAATTCTTCAGAGACATACAGCAGATAGACTTGAAGGGAATATAGGCTCTCTGCAATAAGGGGATTTAACTCCAGCTGAATTGTACGGACATCTAATTTTTTGATGGTGTGATTTCAGCAAAATCACAGCTTCTGGAGAGAAATATCCAGGAACCTTATCTCCTGTCAGAATGCTAATCCACGGTACCCAGAGGTAATTCCTTACTGGCTCCCTTTTCGCTTTCTGATGTGATCTGGATTTTGCACAGTCTTTCAAAGGGGGCTTCTCACATATTTTATAAGAAGCCCTGGCACTTAACTCATGGCTGTGCCTTTCACTCTGTGCTCAGACTTCTAAAAACTGCACAGCATAGTGCTCAACAGTGCAACATCTAAGCCTCAGGAAATCCCCTAATGAAATGCCATTAATACACTCATATCAATGCACTTTAAATGGGCATTTAGGAGGGTTAAGTATCTAGTGAAGCAAAATCCCACAGCCTGGTACTTGGATGGAGTTCTAACACACTGTTACGTTTAAAAACACACAGATCAGAAATAAAGATGAGAGAGCAGATATATTTGAACAACTGTTCCTGAACAGAAATAATTTCCTTATTCTATTATAAATCTATTTATGATTACCTAAAAAGAATGTTGAAACATAAGACTTTCTAGAAATAACTTGGTTCCAAAATGAGTCTCTGAAAAGGCTCATTCTGGCTTGCACTCATCGAAAACCAAGGCACTCAATATCAACATTTTGGCAATTCTAATAACAAAGACTGCCAAAAATATGTTGTCTATCAAATGTACACGGAAGAAAGATGTTAGAATATTAAGAACAGATGTCACAGATATCTTCGAAAATACTCGTGCTCCCCAAGTACTCTGCAAGGCAATATGTACAAAACCTCACTGAAAGATTAAATTAATGCATCTTGTTCAAATGCTTCCAAGTGTCGTATATGCATGTAAACTTACTTATGAAATATGTACTTTTAAAGATGTTAGAAAGAAGGATTGTGTCATAAATTGATAATGGCTTTGTATCTTAAAATTGGAGCTTTAACAGTTTGATAACATAGTAAAGACTACTTTTTATAGTCTGTTATTTAAACCATTTTGTTCTGTGTGTGCAAGGTTTTCCAGTTATTGAGTATTCATGTATTTACATTTTAATTATTATTCGACTGACAAAGAAAGTTTACAAAAAAATTCCTATTGGAAAAACATGTAAACAACTCTAATGAAAGGAATTTTTACATAAAAGTAGCTTATTGTCTAAAATTAAAAGACCACTTAGAAAACATAAATATCTCAAGAGTTCATCTGAACAGGCACAAAACATGCTTTCTTCCTCTGCTCTATTTATTTTCAGTATTGACAATTCTAAACAGTAAACATTAAGCCGCTTTCCAAAAAGAAAATCATGGCAATTGGCTGATTTATTTATTTATTTGTTAGCACAGGAAGCATTGGATTCTTTATAAATGACATTTATATTAAGAAAATATTTTACCTCTAGGGCTGATGTCCCAGATTTCAGGCATAGAAAATCACCTCACACCACTGAAGCCCAGCTTTTCATGTATGACTGATTCAGGAGATAGAGTGTTAAAAAAAAAAAAAAAAAATGAAAACCAAACCAAAACAAACAAAATTCCCCCAGAAATCTACTGAATATTTTAAAGCTCATAATAATATAATAGGCAGTGATACCATGGTGTCTCTTATGGGATGACATTTCCAGGTAAACAGCCAAGAAACCAAACATAGCACTTTGAGCTAATGATTTTGATTTTTTAAATTTTCTTACTGAAATCAGAATTTCAGTGAGAAGGGGATCATGGCCCTATAACATACATCACCAAATTGCAATCACGTGAGCACACAGAGCCAACAAGACTTGTCTTTAAGTTTAAATCTGTCTGCATATTAAACTCAAGACTTTCTGTGGTAAAAGACTAACCATTTGATGTCAAAATGACAGTGCTGAACTCAGAAATGTGATGTGGAAGATATAAGACAGTACAATCCTAATGTAATAGCAGCAACAACACTGATATTTTCTGTTCTTTAAAAGTTTTGAAAACAAGGTTCATTTCTTCTGACAGGATAAAGGCAACACAATGCTGACAACAACAACTATATAACACTTTCCTGGCCAAGGGCAGGCCCGGGTGCCCTCAGCCTCACAGGACACGGGCTGTGGGGCTCCAGTCCTGCCGTGGAGGCCAATCCCTCCCACAGCACAGCCTGAAAAACATGTTGCATTCCCATAACCACCAGCATGTGTGAGGGCTTCGTGGAAAAGGGGCAGATTTGAGCCTGTTTTCGTGGAATACACATGTACAGGCTTTGCCGGACCAGGCCCTAAACTACGACTCCTCTTTTTATTTTTTTTTTTAAGATCATCCCCTTAAAATTAACAGATGTGAAGGCAAACTTGGCACGTACGGATGGCTTAATTTTTTTCTGCCTTCGAATAACCTGGTTATATCCAGTTTCCGCAGCAATCCTACGAGTGTTTACATTGTTGGGTTTTTTTTTTCATTTCCCTCTTTTATTAATAGAAAGCAGACCCGGCGTGCCCGGTGCCCTGGGGAGGCCGCGCAGAGGAGGGTGCTGCGCCGGGCAGTGCAAGGGGCGCTGCACGGGGTTATGTGTTTTGTTCGTATCTGCAGACCCCCAGGGCCCCATTCCGCCCTCCCTGGCTGAGCTCCAGGCCCAGGCTGTCAGCCAGGGAGAGTACAATATCTTCAGGCTATGGCTCATTTAAAGTTTTTCCTCAGCTCTCACCGAGCTTTTCCTTGCGGCTCAGGGGAGGCCACACCACCTCCTCCTGCTCAAGGCAGCCCCAGACCTGCTCTCAGCCCAGTCACTGCTCCAGTTCCTGACACCGGGGCAGTACCACCCTCACAAACACAATCCCTCAGTCCCTGGCTGGGGGGAGACTTGCAGGGAGATACTCCTGCTTTCTGTGTTTCCCTTCCTCTTAAGCTCCCTAAGGAGGGTCTGATATTTAATTAAAGTATCATGAAAGAACTAGATATTTAATTACATGATTAAGTCAGTTAGCCTAGCTTGACAGAATATCATAAATCCACAGAAAAATGTGTTAGTATTGGAGTTAAGTTGTTACTCAGAAACTGCAAACAGGCCAGCTATATTCCTCATGCAATGGGAACAGAAGTAGGATTAGCCAGGGTTGCATACACCTGTATTGTCAATAAAAATATCAAAAGACATTTTCAAACCCTCTTAATATTCAAACTTTATCATGGTTGGTTGCTCTACTGACATGAGATTCCACTACCTAGCACAGCTTCGTTCATTAGTGGGGCTTCATTAACCCTGGCAGAGCTCAGTGCTAATGAGGCTCCATTGCCCTTGCAAGCCCAGCCAACTTTCTGGGGTGCTGCCTGGTGCCACACTGGTGTCTCTAATAGTGTTACACCAGGAGTGCACTAGCTAATTATACAAAAAACTAGTTACAATTTTTAAACCCTAAAGCAAGTTCCAAACAAGGCCATTTTTGTGAAAGAAAAAAAAAACCATTGGTTTCTAAGAGAGAAAGGGTTTAAAATTACTATGGCAGGCTTGAACAATTGTCACAATAACAAAGCCACAAAATGCCTTGTATGGCACAGCTCAGCAGTGGGGAACAGGGTGATCATGGGGGGAATATCAGCTCTCCAGAGAGAAGTACAAATTGGGATTTTGCTGAGGTCTTTGCTCCATCAGACAGCGCCTGGTTTTAAGCACCTAATCCTGACCACAGACAAAACATTCCTGGGCAGGTGAAATAAATGGCAACACAGACTACCTGACCCCACAAGTCTCACAGTTGTTCCAAAAAACACTCTTCTCCTGGCAGGCTGTGTGCCAGATTGAGTATTGCTTGTCCTCACACAGCTGGCATAAAATCATAAAGGCAGCATAACCATCACACTGGCTGCTCTGGCTACACAGTCAACAGGAATAAATTGTGTATCCACATGATATCCTGGTTTAATTAGTTCTGTTGGGTGATACTGTATTATACAGCACCAGTATTAATAATAGTAAAACCATAACCTGGAAAAATATTTCCTGCTGCAGTGGCAGGCTGTAATCCTTCAGTAAGCCTCCTGGTTTTCCACTGGCTGGACATGGCCTCGTGGTCCTTGATCAAAGCCCATGTACAATGTATTTAAATGCAAACTGATGCAGGGCAACCCTGTGACATTCAGCACTCCTACAAACATCCTCTTATGTTACTACCACAGATATCCATCTCCCTGCACTGTCCAGGCAATAAAATACGGATTTCGTATCGAGTTCTATGATAAAGTGTAATCTGACTCTCACATCTCCTCTACTCCCACCAGTCAAGCTATTTACTTCGACATCAATTTAGCAGGGAACATAAGTATTAAGGACAGCCTAGGTTTAAGAACGAGTGTCATGCTGTCCTTCCTGACATGTCTGCAAAAGGTGTTCTAGGCTTTCATCCTGATCTCTACATCATTGAGTCTTAGAGCCTCCAATTATTTTGGAGGTATCCTTTCTTACACATCAACACGCAAAAGAGAGTACACCACATTCCCTGGAGCACTCGCTCCAAAGCTGCAGCAGAGAATTATGGATCACATACAGGTTAGATAGATGTGACACAGACTGAAATACAAACTGCTGCTCTCTCCGGACCTATGAAACTTTATCTCTCATCTCCCTGTTTTTAAAAGATAGGAAATGTGCAGTTAGGGTGACAGTCTCCCACAAACCCAATCCACCAGTAAAAGCACAGTCTGATCTCTCCAGCACAAAACAAAAGGGAGAGCCCCTTTTCTGGGGGAGAAGAGTGTGATACTTCATAAGACAGGCATAATGGATGAAATATGAAATGGTACTTTGCCAATTCCCTTTATGCTAGAAGCCAAACACAATTGATAACCCTGAGCAACTGCTTGCAAGACAGAGAACAGAGCTCCTCTGAACATCTGGCTAATATACCTGACCTGTACTCTGTTTTGCAGGAGGATTCTGATAACCTAATAATAATATATGCTGCTTGCTGGGTTGGTTTTTCTTTTGGTTGTGAAGTTTGGATTTGTTTCATCGTTTTTTTTTCTTTTAAATTGAGTGCTATTTATAAAGTAACAAATCGTGCCTTTACTATCTAATGAAATCTTTACTTGATTAGTATTTTTTCTACATCTTGCTTTAATTTTTAAAATTTGTCTTCATGTAAGTATGTGGCACTTGAGTACAAAAATCAGCTTGTAATGTATGTACCTAGAAGTTTGTTATTTTTGGATCTCTACAAAACTTTATAATCATTTAGGAAATAAAAATACCAAAGAGAGAAATGACTCAGCATTTTAAATGTACATATATCAAGCGTCTCAACATCCCCATATGCAAACCTATGAAGTTCCTTTCCTCTCTACTGTATGGCAGTTTGAGTCAAAGGAAGGGTCAAGACAGAGAGCTCAAGCTCTTCTGCCTTTAGATAAAGCACAAAAAGAATGCATAAAGAGAATTTACATTTGCTACAAATAATTTGAAGTTAATTTTATTATTGTTTTTTACCAGCATTTTTTCTTCTTGAGAAAAAGCAACCAGTGTTGGAACAGGGCACAGCTGATAAGTAAATGCATTTACCCAGACTGCCCCATCCTTTCAGCAAGATCAGAAAACAAAACTGGAGGAGGAAACCTGAACTGTCAATGTACTTCAGATTCAAGATCCAATGAGCAATTTCCATAAAATTTCCTGGGAGTTAAGGTATCCAAACCACACCATCAGGATTTAACCACAAATAAAACTAAAAAGAGCAGCTGCCCTGTAACAGAGGGTTATGCTGCAGCCATGGCAAGGGGCAGCACACACAGCAGCACACCCAATTACCCATTTACCCTGTCAGTGCAGAGCTGTTCTCTGCAGTCAGTGCTCTGTCCAGGGGAGCCATAAGCACCTGCAGCTGAGAGTAGAACACTTTCCCACAGGGGATCATTCAACAGATAATTCCTCTATTACAAGAGCTGCTTAATATTCACAATCTACATTTTCCTCTTAGATTTATCCATTCTGCTTTATTCCCTGTTTTTGCTCAAATGCACCTCCCTGAGTAATAAACCTCTAAATAATTTGTCTTCCTCCTCTGTGTTCCTATAACAATGAATAGATTGCACTGTCTGAACTATAACACTACAAATTTCCGGTGCGTAGTTTTAGCAATAAAGAATTCGGTATTCTAATAAATACAAGGTTAAAACTAAGGAAAATTAATTACCAAGCTATAGATCACTGAGCAAGAGGTGAAACAGCCAAAGAGATGCTCTTATTAGATTATCAAACTCAAGGCTGATTTATAGCTTTCACTGTGCTTCCTTATCCATCATTTTTATAGTACGTAGAAAGGATTACAAAGCACAAAATTGCCTTGTTTTAATAAGCTATGAAGTTTTGGGTAGCATGGCTATCCTGATCTGAGCCTAGGTTACATTTTTTTTGTTTGCAAAACATGAAAGCAGAAAGCATATTTTATTAATCTGAGAGAGCTGTGACAGAACTGAATGCAATACAGTTGTCAGCCTGCAGCTTCCTAATGTGCTTGCCTGTGATTTGCCCAGAAAAGTCAAGCTGTGGAGCAGCCCTGCTGAAAAGCCTCTGAGGGTCTTGGTAAAGAGCAAGCTGCTCAAGCCAGCAGAGTACCTGTTCAGCCTGGAGAGGGGGACACTTCCAGGGGATTGAACAGCATCCCCCAGTACCATGAGAAGGTCATCAAAAGACAGAGCCAGGCGTAAGATGAAATGAGAGTCTTCGCTCCCAGCCTCGCAGAGAGGTTGTATAATCTCCATCCTTGGAGGTTTTCAAGGCCAGACTGGATTAAGGCCCTGAGCAAACTCATCAAGCCTCACAGCTGACTGCTTTATGTAGGAGGTTGGTCAAGAGCTCTCCCAAGGTCCTTTATAAGCTGAACTGCCACACGAACTCAATCTGATTCAGGATGCAAAAATTTTGACAGGTACTACAAGAAGAACTTTCTGAATTGTACTCAACACAACTCTGCCTCTTCCACCTCTGAAAGGGATGATGATCTGTAGGTCAGACTGACACAGCAGATCCCTAAAACTTTCTTAATCCAATGGTAAAACATAACTCAGCCAGAGACTTGACAACACTGGCAGCTGGCTCACACTACTGCTCCTGCTGGTGACAACTGCAGAAACATGTGCAGATGTCGACAGGCTGGGCTGTGGGGGATCATAAATTAAACCAAAAGGGGCAATTGAAAATTACCAAATCCTGAATACACTTCAGAAGAAACCCCTCATCTTGTCCAGGGTCCCTGCCAACAAAGGTACAGATCAACTTAAAATTATAATTAAAAAAATAAATGCACGAATGGAGTAATTTTAATAGAATGTGTAAATAACTCCTCAAACTCAGTGACATGATTCACTCCTCCTGAAATAAGTGGTTTTGCAATTATATCCCACACTAGAGGCTTTTCTAAAAATACAAAAAGTTACACAAAAAACTGAGTATGCTTTTCCTAGCCATTCCCTCAGCACAGTTGTAATACAAGGATCAGATCTGGACTGCAACCAGTATTTCATTCAGTCTTGTAGCTTCATTGCTACCTCTTTTAAATGCTTTGGCTCANCTTCACTGTTTGTAAGGGATACCACATTCTTAGCACTATCACATTACCAAAAGTAAAAAGATAAGGAAAGAATCTTTTAAAATATTGAGAAGAACTTTTGAAATGATTATTTATCATTTTCTTTTCAGCACAATTGAAGTGGTTACCATAGCTGGAATGAAGTACAGTGCACTGCCAGGAATTTCAGAAAAGACCCCTCCACCCCAGGAAAAGTTCAGTTGCATTCTGCTTTAATGGCTTCTGGCAAGCTTGTACTATT